GATCAAGAAAGAGAACAATCAATAGAAGAACTTAAATTAAAAATTTGACACCTTACTGGTCAACCTGATGAAAATAGCTATGTCCCTGGTCATTGATGATATAAGAAACTAAATAGCATTTTGAAATTTTGTTTCTAATATAATAATTTTATTAGTTTAATTAGTTAATGCTATTTGTTTGTTTATTGTGAATAATAAACTTCAAGATTCCAGAGCAAATACTTGTGTTAAAATAGAAGAGTAAAATATGTTATCTATATCATAATATAATAAATAATTACATATAACTATAAAAATAATAAATTTAATTATTTGTTAATAGTAAATCTAATAGTAATAACATGCAATAATAACAATAATCATAATAACGAGTTATTATTATATACAGCCTACTTTGTACAATATTAGTTATTCTTTAAATGTATTAATTAGTAAATATAATATTATTATTACCTGATCTTTCATTATATATCCATTTATGAATATGCTTTTATCATTTGCAACAATGCTTTGGTATTTTCCTCATCGTTATCATCATCATCTTCTTCTTCTTCTTCTTCTTCTTCTTCTTCTTCTTCTTCTTCTTCTTCTCCTTCTTCTTCTTCTTCATTATCATTATGATCTTTTAGGGAAGAAGTAGATTTAATTAAAATGATATAATTGAAAATCAACCAAAAAAATTGGCAAAACATATAATAATATATACTTCACTTATTTCTTGATTTATATGATAATTATTAATATTATTTACTAATATTGCTTCTTCTATCTCTTCCTCTTCCTCTTCCTCTACATCTTCTTCCTGATCCTGATCTTGATAATTGTCATCATCACTATTTTCACCCATATTTTCAAAAAAAGTTAATGCATTTGCTATTTTATTATCTAACTTATCAGCTTCTACTACTGGTGGTGATGTTGATAAAAACTCATCATTTTCATCATTATCTTCACTCATATTTTCAAAAAAAGATAATGCATTCACTATTTTATTATCTAACTTATTAGCCACCACTACTACTGGTGGTGATGTTGATAAATAACTATCATCATCATCATCATCATCATCATCATCATCATTGTTGTTGTTGTTGTCGTTATTGTTGTTGTTAATTACATTTGAATTATTTGATGTGAAATTTTCATTTATTTGAGAATAATCCTAAAATAATAATTTTAATTTTAATTATTAAAGCCTTGTAATATATAATATATAAAAATATGAGCATGATACCTCAAAAGCAGTTTTAATATCTTCACCCAGCATTGATAAAAGAACTGCTTCTTCGCTTTGAAGTTTCTTTTTTTGTTCTTCAAATTCTTTTAACATATCTAATAGAGTTTTCATTTCTTTATGAAGCTGATTTTCAATATTTACAAATAGATTTCTTTTTTGTTTATAAGAATTATTATTTCTATTAACGAATGATGTTCTTCTAGTGGGCGGCATTGTTAAAGCGATTTAAAATTTAATAGGTCCGCAGCTGAGTCAAATCCACCATAGGGACAATGATTTGCATAATCAAGTAAAAATTGCCGAATAATGCATAATACAAATTGCCGCATACCATAAAGCCTGGAAAGACAGCGCCTGTGACATTTCCTTTTTTAGTAATTTTTACGGTTAGTCACGCTCAATTTATTATATTAATCGTCATAATTTCATAGAAAATTGTTATTTGTCACGGGAGCTATCTTTCCAGACTTTATGGTAATTGATAATTATCGTGTGATCAACAACATCAAATAAAAAAATGAATCTTTGAAAGCTGATTAGTATATTCTTTCTGTTTATGTAATTATTTATGAAGACTAATTAAAAATGTGTTAATGAGTAGTTTTTATGGCGACTTTTTGGGTTTAAATTTAATCTACAACCCTATGCAAAGTTTGCACACTTAAAACATACTTATTATACCACTAAAACACACTTTGTAGAATTTAATTAATGTTGAGCACGGAATGAGTATGTTTTAAACATATTTCAAGTGTAATTTAAGCACATTTTGACTATTATGGGGAGACACTTAAAACATTCTTGTTTTATTTATTTATCTTATTTATTTGTATGGCGTGGGAGTCAATAATAATAATAATAATATTTATTTTTATATGCTTTTATGTTCTAAACAATTTAACACTTTCTTTTTTCCAAAGGAAGAATGACTTTACATCTATCAAATAAAATAATTATTATACATTTTGTCATTAGTGAAAAGGTCTCTTCTTTTTGGTCTATTCTGTGTATTTGCAATGTTGTAAATTGTTTTCAACTTATTCTCAAGTTTCCCGTGATCTATAAATCACTATTTCACAATGGTTAGAATACTGCTTCAAACTTGATTTCCTGTTTGGAATTGTGAACCGTGCTTGAAACTCAAAATTGTGTTTAGCACAGGAAATACTGCTTAGAGCTCGAAATCATGCTTCAAATAATGTATAATTAATATGTTGTATGTGAAATCAAAATTTATGTGAATTTTGAAATTCACATACGTGAAATTTAAATTAGCCAATCAATGAATGGATTTCCAAGCCCCAACCCATTAAAAATAATATATAAGCAATCGAATTTTTATGCACCAAAAAATTAACTTAATCCAAATTACAAACCAAAAGCCATTTGCTGGCATTCTGATTCATATTAAAAATCTATTTCGTTGCCATTAACTATAAATGCTCTCCAACTCAAATAGTTAGTGATATGTGTGTAAGCTTATTACAATGTTTTCCAAAAAAAATTTTCAGCAAAAGAATCTACAAAGTGAACATAAAATTATATATAGAGATAAGTGTATATGAAAATTAATAATAAATATAATTCTAATGAATATCAAAAAGCCATTGATTTTTTGAAAAAAAGGTTGTGATTGTGGGATGCTCTTCAAGAATTCCCAAGGAAGAATTTGCAGAATTAAGGGAATCTTTTCAAGCTCTTACCAAATTTGAACAAGATATATTTTTAATGGCCCAACTTAAAGCAATGGATGGTGGATCAACAAGCATTAGCAGACGCCTTGAAAAGAAAACCCAGATCTAATAAAAGAACTTTTACCATTGGGATCACAATACACCCCTTTGTCAAGAAACTTATCTTAATATGTTAGGAATTGGCAGAACTTATTAGAAATCATCTGATAAATAACAGTCTTCTGCCAAGAATTCATGGTAATATTAAAAGAATGCCTCAATGAAAAACTAAAATGGTGATTGATAAAAATGTTGCAGAAGTATATAGGGATCCTGATTTCCATTACCTAATAAGTATTGTACAACAAGGAGCAGGAAACAAGAACCGACCGGAACACCCTATTATATGCAGGTAGATCACTTCATTGTGATCATTATATATGGAAAATTTTATGCAGGTTTTAATGAATTTAGTAGCTGTTAATTTGTGCATTCATTCCAAAGGTGTCATTTTTAAATGAGTGAGAAATTTTTGGTCAACTATAATTTTTTTCTTTAATTATGGAGAGATATAAAAGGGTAGATTTGACTTTGAGCAATTCAAAAACTTTACCAGAAAACATAATATTTTTTGATAATAATGGTAATAATAATAATAACAATAATAACAACAGAAATTCTATTAATAACCCTGATTTGGAACAAGAAATGATAGATGAATTAGAAAAAAATGTTGTTGAATTGGCTGAAACACAAGAGCAGATTAATCAAATTCGTTTACCACGAGAAATTATCAGGTTAAATGATGTTAGAATTCCAGAAGAGGATCGTGAGCCTGACAATTTTCCAAGTGATGCTACGTCCGACTTTTCTATGGACGAGAGTGAAAATGAACTTCAATCTATGACTAATGAAAATAATAATAATAACAAAGACGAGATCATTAATAACAAAGATTATGTTAAAACTTGGAAGTCTTATACGTCAGATTCGCCTAAGGAAATTGATATAGACATTAAATCAGATGACACTAATTTAACCGAGTATTCCGATGGTTATAATAGCAGAACACCTTACTTTCCAAAAAAAAAAGTTATTGACTCATTCGTTGACAGTTTTAGTTTAAATGAAAATTTAGGTGATAAATCAGTTGAAAGTGCTAAAACCGGAAGTTCTCATCAACGTGAGTGTGTTATAAATAATAATAATATGTCAATTAGATTATTAATTCCACTATATTATGAATATATTTATTCCATTATAGTAGATGAAAAACCAAAACTACATATTGAAACAAATTCAAAAGGTCTTACCCTTAGTACTCTTAGTATTACATCCAATAATGGTAATTTATTACTTGATTCTTATAATAATATTTATTTATTAATTAATTTTATTAAAAATATATATTTTCCCTAATAGACATTGAAAATGAAATAGCAAAAACTGAAGAATACAATACTGGTTCAATAAGTAATATAATCATATAATTTGGTTTTTTTTTTTACCCTCCTGAAAATAATTTATTTAACTGATTTTGTATATATATATATAAATTTTTTTTAAAAAAAGTTTTTGGTCAAGCTTTACCAGGTATTTATTTCTATTATTTTTATGATAATCTATTAAAAAATTTTTAAATTCTATTAATATGTGTTTTTCTTTAGATAAAATTCTGGTACAAATAACATCATTAGATTCTAACGATCAGTTAGTATCAAATACAAAAACAAAAACTTCAGTTCGTCTTGTGATTCATTATGTTAAACATCAAACAAATCCAAGTGAATTAATTGAAGACCATTCGCAAAATAAATTTCTTTTTCCTTTTGATTATCACTCTTTAATGTTTGATACTTTAAAAATAGATATTTATGAACATGGATTTTTAAATGCCAAAAAAAGAACTGGTCGTGGTGTTTTTAAATTAATTGGATTAAAGTCGTCAATTCTTAATAAAGATGAGTTTATTGGGTGGGTTACTTCTATGTACTTTATATATACATACACGCTTCATAAATTTAGATATATATTTATTAACCAATTAAAAATTCAAATATAGTCAAATACCTTTAGAATATAATGGTCTAATATCTTATCAAGTTACAATTAGGGTAAAATTTCATTATCCAAACGATGCTCCTCTCATTCCATCAACTTTTATTACTCAAAATACTTCTACACGTTCAAAATCTTTATTTACAACAAATAAAAGTAGCGGTGCCATGACAAAAGTGATTTCTTCCGAAATAGATAATGTTAATGATGCTGAATTTGCTAATATAGTAGTACATCCCGAAGCAAAGCCTTTTGGTATTCTTGATATGGTACTAAGTAAAGAGACTAAAGATGCAATGAAGGAAATAACTGTTTTATATCATACTTTCTTTGGTCATGGTTGGAGATTAAGCAAGTTGGAGTTCTTAAAAGCGTATATGCTATTAGAGAAATATTATACTCAAAAACCTAGGTGAGTTATATATGATTATTGTATTTAAATAAGGAAATGTCAATAACTTTAATATGAGTTTGACTTTATTTTTTTAATTATTTCCTTTTTTAAAAAATTTTAAATTATAAAAGCCCTATTACAGGTAAAATCTTGCAAGATACCGATAAAATCCAGTTAGCTCAAAAATATTTAAAGTATTCTATGGCTTCTTATGTATGTGAATCTTATATAATATATATATGTATCTCATTGATCCTATAAAATTGAAAATTATAATCAATTTAAATTTTTTTATAAGGGTTCATTTTTATTTAATTGGTTTGGATATGGTCGTTGTATGGCTCCATTAAGTATGTTATTTTTATTTTTTAAAAAACTGAATGAAAATTCGAATAATGGATGTTATTGATATATATATGTGTGTGCGTTATAGACGCTTTTAGATTAAATTCAAATCAAAAGGCTGTTCAGGAATTTTTTGGCCTTGATAAAGATGACATCATTTGTTGGGAATATGATCAAATTGGTGTTTCTGTTCCTCACTATATGATAATAAGAGATCCGGAGACAAATGATATTATAATAACTATTCGTGGAACAATGGTACCTACATTTAATAAATCATCTGTTTATTTGTATATTTATTTAAAATGCTGTCCAACTTCATCTTCTAATAATAATTTAATCTAAATAATCATTTAGAATATTACAGATGTGATAACAGATGTGATGGCCCATTATGAACCATGGAACGGTGGATTTGTTCACCGAGGTGTACTTCGTAGTGCTCAATATCTTGTCAAAAATTCGCTTAAGAGTATAAAAAGGGCTGTAAAAAAATTTAATTCGCGTGCTATTCAAGTTATAGGACATTCATTAGGTGCTTCTATATCTTCAATGGTAACTCTTTTATTGCATGAGGAGTGTAAGGGTTTACTTGAAAATGGCGTAGAAATTCTTGGGTGGAATTTTGCTAGTGTTCCATGTTGTTCATTAGACTTAGCAAACAAACCCGAAGCAATGAATTACATTAATAATTTTATTAATGAAAATGATGTAATTCCACGATTAAGTTATGGAAATCTTATGGATTTTAAAGAATTAGTTAAGTTTGCTGCAAGTGAATTGAAGAATGAAAATTATAAAAAGGTAAAACATAATATTATATCAATCAAATTTAAATTTATAATTATTATTGTTAATATTATAAATTACATTATTTCAAATTAGCTCAATTCTAAGGAAAAATTATCCAAAATTATTACTTCAATCGACGAATGTCGTACTTCTTTGAAAGCAAAATCTTCCGAACAAAAATTATATATTCCAGGAGCCATTTATTACCTTTATAAGGGCTTTCATGAGACTCATGTTAAATCTTCAATTGCATTCTACACAAAAGATGTTTTATGCGAAGTTTCCACACCAAGTTTATTTACAGACATTATTTTAAGAAGAAATTGGCTGTTCCATCATTTCCCTGATAGATATGATAAAAAATTCCAAGGTGTAATAAAATTTTTGACAAAATTTAATGAAAAGGATAAAGAAACTTTGAAATTTTGGGATAGAAGAAACTGAATACACCACTGATAAAGGTGATAGAATGAAAAAATAGATGTCGCACATCTAATTAAATTTTTCAATGGTGCTCATTCACATAATTGTAAATTAACAAATTAATTTTATAGATTTTTTTTTTTAAATAGAACCAACTTTTGTATTATTATTATTTATTATTGGTTATGAAAAAAAATGATCATAGAATTAATTTTACACACTATTTTTCATAATTTTGGTTGTTTGCCACGGGTGCAATCCTGAAGTCATCCCATTACTATTACTATTAACAGAAAAATTAAAAATCATAAAACTTACACGACCAATTCGCATCGATATTAATTTCATCATAATAATAAGGCAACATATTTTATTCCAATTTGGTTTTTTTGACCCTTTTTCCAAACCCTATGTTTTAATGTATTTTTTGGTCAGTAGAATGATAATTAACCCTAAAAAAATACATTTGCCCCGCTAAAAAAAGCTATTTTACCATTCAACAGCCCGCCGAACCAATGGGTTTTGCTAAGGTATTCATAATGTTATGATCATACCGTACTAAATTTTGAGGTTCAAACAATTTCAGTGCATGTAGTTTTAATAGTTTGGAATTGTCGCACTCCATTGAATTGAGCTAGAGAATTAAAATCACAGATTTATAAGCGTCAGGATTAAAATGCACCTATTGACAGAATTATGTTAATAAACCTTTTTACGTAGGCTTCCATTATATCTTATATATTTGCAATGTATTATTAATTTTTTAATTCACAATTTATCCAACAATAAAGTTAGATTGGTAATTTATGGCTGAAAGTTAAAGGATCTCACCCACTCACTTGTGGCTCTTGTTCATTAATTCATTCGCCTAAGCTCAAGATCCTGTAAAAGCTTGTACATATCAAATATTTATGTGGCTTATGTGAATTGTAAAACGCAAAAATAAGTGAAGTCTTACTTTATTATTGATTTGTCAACTGTATATAAAGCATTATCAATTATTCCTGAAATAGTAAAACTAGATCATGGAAAAAGTAATAAATTAGTAAAATATCATTAAAATTGGACAACCACAATGCTTGGCTGTTTTCGCTAAAGGGTATAAACAATTATCAACAGGTCAATGTAATATATCTATTTTGTAATGACAAATTATAATAACAAATGGTCATATATCTGAATAAATTATATTTGTTGTTATATTAAATGGATTAAAAATGAAGAATCTGAACAAATGTTACAAATTGAAGATATATTGACTAATACTGATTGGTATTTTGTGATTTAAAATTTTATACTATTTATACTATTTATAGGAATGATTGGATTCCAGAAATAAAAATTAGAGACAAATTATATCCACTATTAAATATAAAACCAACTAAATGTTAATCACTTTTTTTTGTTGGTTAATAAATTATTTATTTTCATTAGTACAAAAAAAAAAATTTACATAAATAATAAATATAAATATAAATAAAAAAAATTTCTTTTCAATTAAGATTAATTCAAACTTCTAAGTTAATTATAATCGCAATGTGACCATTGGTGGCATACCATCATCATCTCTTAAAGTTTGTCGACTACGACTGCTGACAAATCCTCTTGGAGAAGAGACTGCATTTTGATTTTTTGATTTATCATTATGATTATCATTATGATGTGCATCATTGTTACATATGGGACATTGAGGTCGATTACTCCGATCTCTTATTATAGTACTATGTTTAACTTTTGAGCCTACTCCTTTGTTGTTGAGGGTAAGTTTGTTAATACTATCTTGCAGTGTTGTCAAAGTTTCATTGTCAAATAGACATTCTTCATGATAAGCATGTCGACAGAAAAATATAATTGTTGCTGTATTAGAGTCGATGGGTAGTGCTTTTTTATTTTTTAAATAAATAAAAATTGATTCAATAAAAATAAAAATAATATTAATTAAATAGAATTTATAAAAATAAACTTACAATCAGAAATTATTGGTGCTGAACAAATAGAACATGGTAAATTTTCTAAAATTGAAAATAATCAAATGAAATAAATTATTATATTCTCACATCAGTTTCTTACATATATTCTTAATTAATATGGAGGAAAAACCTCATCTAATAACCTTCAATTGAAATTCCACGTTTCTGTGCTTTGTGAAGTTGATTAGCCATCGAAACACTGTCATTAACCAAAATTCTTTGACATCCTTCTCGTAATGATGCCTAAATAAATAAAAATATTTTAATATAATGATGACTTTTTAAAAAAAAATTATACACATATATATACACCTGTAAATTAAAATCTTGAAGAACTTTTATCAAGGCATCTTTCAATCCTGGGATTTCCAATCTATCAGGAATTCTATTTATCAAACTAATTGGATCAATACTTGTCCCACCAAGATTTTCCAACAATCCAATAATAAATCCTATTTGACAACAATAATGTTAATTTATATTAACAAAATCAAAATTTTTTCAGTGGAACATAAGTATGTTCAATTTAAACTAACTTGGTTTGTCCAAAGAATATCTCAACAAATCCTCCCAAAGTATCTTATCATCTTGTTCTTTAGCAAAATCTATTGCCTGAAATTTAAGAATAATATAAAAACATAAAAATCTATATGCATATATATTGCAAAAAAATAATGATATTGAAATCATACTCTTTGAACGTCTTGTAGTCTTTCTATAATTAACATAAGAGCTTTTTTATTATTTCCCAGTCTTCCAAGAATATATACCATCTCGGGTACTAAATCCCTCTGTTCACATATTTTAAATGCCTGTATATATATATGTATGTATCAACATGTAAATGAATGAGCAAATTAATTCTTTAATTATAAAATATAATTAAAAGTATTTTGTTATATTAATATTAATAATAGCACCTCTTCCAGTGAATAATAATTGCTAGAGCGCAGAAAATCTATCAATCTAGGATAATCATATTCTGCATATAATTCTACCTATTAAAAAAAAAGCATTAATTATATTAAAAGCTCTTACACACACACGTATATATAATGTGAATATCAAACCTGTTCATTATGGAATTCATATCCTGCATGGTGATCATGAAGAAACAATGCATCCAAATAAATATGTAGAAAGTCTTTATGTGATCTTAAACGTTGAACAACATTTCTAATCTATTACCATTAAAATTATTCAACATCAAAATTATATTTATTCATCATTTAAAGACATGCATTATATACATACTGGAACATCATGAGTATTCTCAACTAATAATCGAACAGCCGGTCCATCAGTTGCTTTAGTCAAAAGTCCAGCATTAGACTTATTATTTTTTGTAGTATTCAGCTCATTCTTCATTTCATTTTTATCTTCTTCATTTGCTTTTTTTTTAGCTTCAGCTAATAAATGTTGATCAAACTTCATTAGAAGAATTACCTTTTCTTGAACTGCAGGAAATAAATCATATTCTCTAATTAAATCAAAAACATTTGGTCTGAGTAATCTAAGATTGTATTCAAGTGCTTTATCAGGTTCACGATTGTATGCATATCTAAGATTATAAAAATTTTAAAAAATTAAATTTTATGAAATAATCAAATCAATTTTTTCTCAAAATAAAATACACCACTTACAATTCTGCCAAACATTCCATTAAAACATTATTCTCGGGTTCTTTTTCCAAGCTATTTTCAATAAGTAAAATTACACTTTGAATATTATAAATTGATGGTGGCCAACTCATTATAGTGTCACAAAGTGCCTATAATTTACATTCATTGATTCATTGAAATTAGGATATATAAAGATAAAGATAAAGATAAAGAATAAATGTTGATATAATGTATAATTGAAAAACACTTATAAACCTGATGATCATAATTTAAAAAGTGAGCTAAAATCATTTCATATACAGTGCTGCTTAATTGAGGATCTTTAAATGGTATAAATGGTGTAATTTCCTAAATAGTAAATGATTAGATGATTAAATGACTATAAATTAGAAAATAATCTTTATAATAATCATCATCTTACTTGTAATTGTCTTAATTTAGCAAAAATAAAAACCCATTTCTCCCATAAGTCAGCATCTTTCTTAAGAATCCTAGTACAATTTTCTGCTGCCTTTGAAAAATCCTCTATAATTATATATAAACCAGAATTGAAATAAATATATTGCTCATTTAACTTATTATTATGAGGGAATATGAAATAAATACCTTGTTCTTCTATTAAATACGACAAATATTTTTCACCAATATCAGTAAAGTCATAAACTTTACTACCACCCCATACTTGAGCTTCTTGCAAAGATGTCAAAGCTTCTTCATATCTGGACCGTTCAAGAAGCCAACATATATGATCATCCAAATCTCGAGGTTTCGACAAAACAAGATCTTTTGGACTAACAATATAAAACATATCTTCTTCAGGAAAATAGTCAAGAGTATAATCGTTTGCTTGATAGTGTTGGTATCCATGAAGTGACAAAACATCTGTTGATATCTCTTCATTAAATGCATTAATAATCCTTATTTCAGGACGTTTGGCATGCTAATAATAACAATTATTAACATCAGATTGCTAAATTTTTTTATAAAAGTAATGAATGTTAAGTATTACTCACAGGACGTTTATATTGTTGTGTATCATTTGAATCAGGGTTATTTGTAATATCATCAGTTATATATGCCAATAGTACAATCATATCTTTGAATGGTGCAATACCACATACAATAAAATCTGTTTGGAACCTTGATGATATAAAAAATTTTTAAATTATTATTAAAAATCCAAGTAATCAAAAAAATTATGATTATAAAACTCACAATGTCACTTCAACATATTGTATTGGTCTGCCAGAAACAATTTCGTTTTTAGGTTTATCCTATAAAAAATAGAATAAAATTCAATGTAAAACAATTTTAATTCTACAAAAAAATAAAATAAAAAACACCGATTATTTACTTTTATAGCACATATTTGAACATTATTGGCCCAACCTATCAATAATTGAGTGTCACTACGCCAACAAAGATTACAACGATACAAATCTGCTCTAGGACTATTTGGAGGACGTTGGATAAATGACATTCGTTGTTGTGTTTGAACATCATATATTTTAACACCCTTTTTATAATATGTTATTATTATCATTATTTTGGGTTTACATATAGTAATTGAAAAATAAATTAAAAAAAACTCTTATTACTTCATCATTGGCATAAGCAATTAATGATCCTTTCCAACTAGCAGCATAAATTGGGCCTTCACCAGAATGTTGAAGTATTTTTTCTTGCTTCTGACCAAACCATCCTTTTTTTATATTTATTTATGTGTTCAAATATCAAGGATTTTTGATTCAACAATTTAAGATATAGCGTACAATTATTAATTATTAAATAATGCAAACAACTACCTTTATCACTAAGAATTAAATTGCCAGCTAAACCACCTGACACAAATTGTTGTGTATCTCTAAAATTAGGATCCAATGAGACACATTTTAGAGGACGTCGATAGTTGAAAACTTGTGTTGAATCATCTTCCCATTTGTGAATAATGACTTTACCTGTAAATAAATAAATAAATCATTTAAATCATATCAGATAATTTCATAAAAAAAAAAGAATTTTTTTAATTACCATCTATTGAAGCACTTGCAATATATTCTTCATACGCATCAATTGATATATCACTGATTGTAGCAGAATTCGATGAATATTGTTTAATTTTATTTCCATCAAAATCAAGTATAAATATTTCTCCATTATGTGTTCCTAAAACCTTTAAATTATTATTATTATTAAAACTATTATTCCATTAATGTAAGGAATTACGAAAAGGAAGTAAAGTTTTAAATATACCACAAGTCTTTTTGAAACGGCCATAGCACTTGCTGCTTGAGTTGTTAATATTTTACCAATATCTGCTTCAAGGCGTTTGTATTTGAGTTTTGGCTCCTCCTCTTCAACCGATTCCTCGTCATCCTCTGAGGTTTCATCTCCTTCTTCTTCGTCATCCCCCGAGGTTTCATCCTCTTCTCCCTCTTCATCCTCTTCTCCACTCTCTTCCACTTCTTCAATTTCCTGTTCACCGGTATGCTTTTCTACCTCTTCAGAATTATCGTTCTCTTCTTTGATTTGTATTTGAATTGTATTCTCATTAGACTCCATTGTTTATTTGTTGATTTCTTTTGGGAATTCAAAATATAAACAACCGTGTAACGCGAAAGGTGATCATTTGGATCATTTGATAATCTTTTTTCTACAAGAATGATTAAAACTTTTGAACTTTTATTCAAAAAAAATTCTCAAAAATTTCTATTATCAACATTAAATAAAAAATGCGGAGGAAAAAATTTTAGTAATGGTAGTAATGGTACTAGTAGTATAATGTCAAGATCACAAGAAAGTTTAAAAAGTAATGAAAAAATAATAGATGACAATTTTGATAATAAGAATAAATATTTAGATAAACAAAAAAAAATAATGAAACAAGAATTAAATAAATTAAAAGATACAGAGGAATTAATATCATTGTCATTATCAAGAGTGAAGGATCATCCCAAAGATAATCCAGAATATTTTGAAAGAAGAAAAATAATTGCACTTGAAAATTATAAGAAAAAACAGGCAAAAAAACAAAGAGTACGATTAAAACATTTAATAACAATTTATCATAATATATCGAATTTCATAAATTTAGAAAATTTAGATGAGAAAATTGAAGATATTTTTGGTAGTGGTAACAATAATAATAGTAATGAATATGATAATGTTAGTAGTGCCAATTTAAGGACACCATTTACCACTACACTTGAAGATATGCAGATGGATTATATTGAAAGTGGAGGAGGAATTAATGCAAATGAAGCTAGAAGAAGGATTGAATCAATCAAAGATGCATTATATGGAACTTCTCATGGTGGAAAATATCCTGGATTAAAAATGATTGAGAATTGGGCAAAAGAAAACAAGTATGATGATATTTTGGATGGAAAAGAAACTGACAACAATGACAATGACAATAGCAATAGTAATATTAATTATAATAATTATAAAGATAAATGAAATTGTTGTGACTTTTTTTATATTATTTGAATGATTTATCTTTATTTTTTTATTTCTTGTTTTGTAAAATTTCAATTATATATATATATATCCATGCTATTCCTATTCCTAAGCTTAAGCTAGCTACTTGCTCAAAAAATTTTCACTTTGAAAAACAGTCATTCATTATGGGCACTACAAAAATTTTTAACTAAATTTGGTTACAATGCTGTTTTTATTTGAATCATATATATATAACTTTTGAATGATAATGAATATTCTTAAAACATTCTTATTGTTAATATGAAAACATTCGGATGACATTTCACGCTTTATTATTTTAATACAATGATCGGCATACTATTTTTTGCAGTGTTGTGCAATGTAGATCTTCAATTGATATTGACCAATAAAATTCGTGTGCGTGACACTGTAATTGAATTTCATTGGTTAACTTCATTGGAACCATATTTGGAATTTATTAGAATGCTCCAATGAAATTTTATCGGAACCATAAATGGCTGGGGGTGTCATACAAGTAGATCAACAAATCTATATAAATTAATATGTACAGTTTTTTTAATGGATGTTACATGGAATACTTAAAGGGAACCATTTAAAAAAAATAAAAATAAAATCAGAACTATAGATAAAGTTTATATGGTATATATGCTATTTAAATCAACATAGCGGGCTTTCTATTTTATGGAATGATCTGCATCAGTTACACCACATATATTTCATATGGGGCATACTGCAACAAAACCAGACAAAGTGAACATTGGTATTACCAAGAATTTCAGGGATCAAAATTTAGTCA